AAGAACAAGCAGGGAGATATTTTGTTTACTTCACTTGGCATGTACACTGCCTTCCCCAGGGCACAATAATCAGGGCTGATAAGCAGCAAAGGGAGCTTGAAACCAGTTGTTCAGTACATTGACCTATAATCTACTTCTGGTATTTCCCTTATAAGATTCTCTTTTTTACTTAGGGTGTGTGTATTAATTTATTTAATCCCTGTTCATTTAGTAAATGTACAGTAAAATCAGAGTTGGGTTTAGATAGTAAAGTTTTAAAATTAATGAAACTAAGAATTACAGAAATGGTCCAAGTCAGGAATAAAGCATAAAGTCTATTCTATTTATTTATGCTTTTACCCATTTGATATTGGTCATAATTTCTGCAGTGTCACTCTATATATCCCATTAAATTATATCCGAATATTTAAGCTGTTTTTGCTGTTTATTTTTTAACCCATTTATCTGTTTATAAACAATTTTCTGTTTGAATGCATTTATTTTCAATTCTTTTTAAAAATATAAGTTGTCTGATGCTTTGAGGAGCAGCCAATGGCCTGCATGCCTATAATTTGCTGTTCAAAGACACTTGTGAGCATGAAACTTGGATTTATGTGACAGCCTGGACAACAGGCTTAATTGGAGTAGAACTGTCCCCTGCAACTGGGGACATATCCTCAAGTGTGTATCTTACCACTTACCCTGGTGCCTAAAATTTCTATCATTGCAGTATTGTTTCAAATTAAAAGATTGTGACTTCAGAAATCCTCTTTCTGAATAGAGCTGTATTACATGGGAATATTAATATATTAACCTACCATTACCCATTAACAATTTTGTGAAAATAACTGATCTGTTCTAGTAATGGCTCTACACCAGAGAAGTTGGCAAACTTTTAAAAATAAATGTCTGGCTACTAAACGTTTTAGGCTTTGTGGCCCACATGATCTCAATTGCATCTATTAGCTCTACTGTTATAGAAAGCAGCCACAGACAATACTTAAATTAATGAGTATGACTTTGTTACAATGAAACTTTATGAATAAAAAAAGGTGGTGGACCAGGTTTGGCCCATGGGCTATCCTATACCCACTCCTGCTTTTGAGGACTGAGGGGCTTGTAGATGAATTTACCTCTCCAGAATTATGTTACTTCTCAACTGTTCATCTTGCAGCCCTCATCATGGACTAATCCCCACGAGTATGTTGCCTTGCCGAATAATCTGGTGACTCAGGGTCAGTTTGGCCGTGAATCTAACCTCAGGTTGCCTCCAAGTCAGAGAATCTGTAAGATTTAATCAGCAGCCCTGGGTTCCTGAATATATGGTTCAGACTTGGATTTATGTGACAGTCCGAGACCCACTCTAGAATGGACCTGAGGTCCATTAAAAGTCCAATGGGCTGGATGCAGACTAATTTTACATGCACGTAAAACCAAGGCTGATGTCTCAACACTTCCTTGATCTTACCTGGCTTTGAGTTGGCAGGGGGCTTTTGCTCACAGTTTCACTCCTCAGTTTATATTCTGTCACTCTTTTGATAAGACTCAAGCCTGCTTCTCTTTTATTCTTATATTGCTTGGATCAGTTGTAGGCTTTTACATATTTTATTTCTCTTTCCCACCATTCCAAATTCCCTTCCCATGCCATTACATCATGCACTTCTACACAATGTAATGGCCCATAACCTAATAGCTTTGTTCAACTGTAATTAGTTTTATGGAGCAGATTTATGTTATTTCATGTATAAAAGTATTTTTATACACATTTATACATTTTTCAAGTATGTATGTACTTCATCTTATCTTCATGCTTCTAAGAGACTCACTACCAAAAGGACTTAAAACACTTCCCAGCAAAAATACAAAAATTCCTAATGAACTAATATTTTTGAATGCCTGCTATATGCTAGACATATAACAGAATGAATGGCAAATTTTCAAATAAAAACAGGAAAAATAGCAGATTTTGTAAGCAAAACCAAACCAAACCAACAAATACAAAAACAAATTATGCTGCCTAAAGATAAGGATTTGAAGCAAAAGCTTTGATCAGAGTTTCCTAACAGCCAAGGTAAAAGAAAAAGCATTACAGGTTTTATAATTGTCTTGGTCTGGTAAAAGGAATCACATCAGCTGATGAAGAATTTTTTTCTGACCCTGAACTTTAGATTTTTCTTCTTTAAAATGGTGTCATGCCCAAATAATTTGCTGTTGCAGTAACACTTGCTCTTGCTTATTAAAGCAGTGAGAAGTGGGATCACTGGAGCTGTGGAATCAGAACAACATGGTTCAAATCCCAGTTCTGCAATTTGCTGCTTGCACGGCTTCCAGCAAACCACTTAATCCCCTAAGCCTTAATTTGCTGTCAGTAAAATGAGGATGATATCTGCCTTCTGGGATGTTGTAAGCATTGATACATACATAAAGGATTGATTCTAATGAGTGCAAAATCCGTCATTGCAGGAAAATGACCTCTCTATGTGGTTTGGCTCCCTTTCAGCATAGTGACCTCAGGGTAGTTGCACTTCTTACATGGTGACCAAGGGTTCCAGGCACACATATTTCATCAGACAAGGCAGAAGCTGTGTTGACTCTTACAACAACCCTAGAAGGCATGTAGCAACTCTTCCATATGCTCTGTTGGTTGAAGCTTTCAGAAGCCCACTGGATTTAAGGAGAGGAGACATAGATCTTACCACTTGGTAGGAAGGTGGCAGGGTCACATTGAAGAGAAGAATATGGAATAGGAGATATTGTTCTGACCATCTTTGGAAAATAAAATTTGCCACATGAGTGATTCTGTAGAGGCTAATTCATATTACAGTATGGAATGAAATGTGTTCTATGGTTGTCAACGATGTTTCCTTGTAGTAGAGCTATTGTCATTGCCCTACATTCACCTAGTCACACACAATTTTCTTTGTGATGAGCCTTTTTTCTCTTTTCTATTTTTTCTCTGTGTCGCATTTGCCTGGCTGGAGTTCATTACCTCACTGATAAAGCTGTTTTAATATTTAATCTATTCCTAGTTTCCAAATCATTTTCTCAGGTGCCCATCAATTCCTTATAAGTGGTTAATTTGAAAGGCCTTTGAAGCATGACTGCATATGGCTAAGGCAAATCTGAATGTCAACCTTGGAAGCATTCTCTGACATTCAGATGGACTCCTTTCACTATAGGGGACTTGTTTTTCTATCATGTGGCATATCTTGTCAAAGATACTTCAAAGCATGGTGCCTTTGGATACTGAGCACATTGATCTAAAGGAATTTAAAAGGCTTTAGACTTGAGTCCCCTCAGAACCACGAACTTTGTAACCTTTTCTTGTTCCTTCTCACAAATACAAGATAGAACTCTCTTCCATCCCCTCCCTGAAATTTCATCAACTAGAGAATGTTATCTCATATCACAGGAAGGATATGAGGAATGTCCCCATGCCCAGACAGACTTTTCATCTGTTCTTCTGAGGACACTCTGAGAGATTATCTGGGAGACTTTATCTGCATAATAAGATAAACTTTGGCCAGATGCAGTGGCTCACACCTGTAATCCCAGCACTTTGGGAGGCCAAGGCAGGTGGATCACCTGGGGCCAGGAGTTCAAGACCAGCCTGGCCAACATGGTGAAACCCCATCTCTACTAGAAATACAAAACTTAGCTGGGTGTAGTGGTGTGCCCCTGTAATCACAGCTACTGGGAGAATTACTTGAACCTAGGAGGTGGAGGTCAAGATCAGGCCACTACACTTCAGCCTGTGTGACAGAACGAGAACATTCTCCCATCTCTTCCTGCCGAAGAAGATAACTTTTGTTCACAGTGAAATTCTACCCTTTACCTCCTGCCACCTCCTCCAGAGCTAGAGAAACTTTGTCCCTGGTCATAGTTTTTTGGACTCATCTAATTCCTCTGAAAATTTTTTCTACCCTTCAAAATTGCCTACATCCCCCATCCATCTCCCCTATAAAGAGGGTGCAATTTTAAGCTGAAGCCATCTGGCTCTTCCTTGAGTCTCATTTTATATGGCTTCTGTGCTTCTGCACATTAGTAAATATGTATGCTTTTTCTCCTGTTAATCTGTCTATTGTCAGTTTATTTCAGCAGACCTTCAGAGGGTAGAAGGAAAGGTTTTCCTCCACCCCTACAGGGGCCAGAAATAGTGCCTTTCTCACTCAACATTTGTAGTGTTGTTGAAAGAGCTAGCACTCTAGCGTCAGTGAGAATTCCGTTCATGCCCATTGCCTTATTTAATTGTGTGAAACTGAATTTCTTTAAAAATTAGTGGTTAGTTTCCTCATCTATAGACTGAGTATAAAAACCTCTACTTTACAGTTATAATAAAGAAATAATTAAAGAAGCTTCTGCTGTAGGACCTAGTGTACAACATAAACTCAATATTAGCTAGTAACAAGAAAAACTACATTGACATTTTCTGTTCCCATAAATCCCCTCTCAACATAAGTCTTAGTCAGCTCTTGCACTGATATGCTAGTTTCACTGGAGAGGTGAGAGATGAAGCGTCCACACAAGAGTGATTATTGAAGAAGTTGGCTTCCTCTTCTTTACCTTTTAGGTGGTGGCACCACAAAGTTCATCTGAGAACAAGGATGAGCCAAGCTTAATGATGAGCTAACTCCTGGACCCTGGGGTTGACAAAGGGCATCTTCTTTGAGGGGTGTTCTGTGCTTACGTGGGTCTCTATTGATGTTGATTGGGTTTTTATTTAAGTATTCAAAGGAGATTTTCCTTTACCTGACCTCCATAGCTCATTGTACACCTAATTGTAAAAATATGTCCATGTTTAGTGAAATGTCTTAAAACTTGGACAGTGTTTGCTTTGTAAGAAATAAGATACAAAAAGTAGGATGGATACTCCTCTACTTTCCCTTGGAAGTTCTCCACTTAAAATCTCTCTTTAATCTCCAATTATTATACTCATTATAAAGATGAAAATGTTTATTACATTATTTTAAACTGCAACAAAGCTTTAATTGACCTGGATGTATTATCTTTCTATGTGACAGGTGGTGAAATTTACCAAGTCCTTTGAATTGATGTCCCCGAAGTGCAGCGCTGATGCTGAGAACAGGTAGGCCTTGTGGGGTTCGTGTTTGTCTTTTGATGTTCTTTGGTCCTTGGTGTTAGCAGCATTGCATAATTCTTAGAAGATAGTAGTAGTTCTTTATGTTAGCAAGTACAACCAAATATCACTCTTCTGTATTTCAGGGCTTAAATTAAAACTATAGCTTAAAAATAGATGCATATATATTTAGCTTGCAGTCAGTTTTTAGGGCCAAATTTTAGTACTTGTAATAGGATTAAAATATCGCCTTGAGCTTATAGTCTTCTTTTCCCTGAGCCTTGTAAATTTCGTTCGTTTGTTTGTTTTGTTTTTAAGATGGAGTCTCGCTCTGTTGCCCAGGCTGGAGTGCAGTGGTGCGATCTCGGCTCACTGCAGCCTCTGCCTCCTGGGTTCAAGTGATTCTCCTGCCTCAGCCTCCTGAATAACTGGAATTACTGGGGTGTGCTACCATACCTGGGTAATTTTTGTATTTTTGGTAGAGACAGGGTTTCACCTTGTTGGCCAGGCTGGTCTTGAACTCCTGACCTCAAGTGATCTGCCTGTCTTGGCCTCCAAAAATGCTGGCATTGCAGGTGTGAGCCACTGTACCCAGCCACCTGTAATGTTTTGAAATAAATCTTAAGATATTCTGCTGACTCCTGAACTTCAAATCCAAGTCATTTAGGTAAATTAATATGGAATAGTACTGGAGCAAACCTGTTTTCTTTAAGCCAACAGTTTCCATTTCTCTTCACATCACATATTTGACTAAACCTTCTAATAAATAAAGGAAAATTTTTAGGTGTATGGATAGCCTAAATTTCTGCTTTATTTTGGCCCTTTGTTTCTCTTCCTCCCTTTTGTTTGCCCATATTTGGCCAATAACATCCTTTTGGAAAAAAGACTGAAGGTTTCCAGTAATTTACTTTTTGTTCTCATCGGTGTCTTTGAGGATATAATGGGGTAGAAGTGAAGATTGCAAGCAATCAGTGAATTTCTCTTAGGTTTTTGCTGCCTTGAATAAGAGCCATGTTGCTACAAAAATTCCCTTTGGTTACCTCCAGAGGAAGTGTTAGTAAATAGTGAAATTAACCAAAATGCAGACATGGAGAAAGAATTGTAAAGCACTCAGAGCAGTATGATGATGATCACAATGATGATGACATTGGTACTAAAATATATGCAAGTTCGATTTTTCTTAATGCCAAGTGTTCCATGTAGTATGCTAAATGATTTATAAGCATTTAATCCCCAAAACAATCTTTCAAGATAGGTGTTCCCCCTATGTGACAAAGGAGAAAACAAAGGTTTGTCAAGTTTAAGTAACTTGTTCGAGGCCCCACAGCCACTAAGTAGTAGCCACCAAGGACAAGAACACCTAGATAAGACTCTCCCGACCTCTGAATTTTGATTCCATAGCTACACATCATTTAAAATCTGGTAGTTGATCTCATCTGGTGAATACCTGTTGGGTTAATGCTTCCCAAATCTAATGGGTCAATCAGAATCAGGCTTAGAAAGGTTAGTAGAAACTAAATTCTCAGGACGCAAGCTGAGAGATTCAGATTCAGTACTTCCGAAGTGAAGTTCTAAAGGTCTATATGATCTAAAAGCCCTCTGGGTAGTACCTATTTCAAGATGTCGTAGTGAAGAGCAATTTGATTTTTATATCTATCATTACCTTTAAATTAAAAAATAGGAACAAGTAAATAAAAATAAAAGGTAAATTACTTTTTATCAAGTGCATGAAGTTTAAAAGGGGCCTTTGCTATGTACTATATAACTCCATTTACAGGGCATTCTTAAGACGTCAAAATTATCGGAAAAGAAAGCAAATCAGTAGTTTCCAGGGGCAGGAGATGGAGAGAGGGGTTGACTTCAAACGGGTAGAGGGTTGTGATGGAACCATTCTGTATCTTGTTTGCAGTGGTGATTATGCAACTATATTTGTCAATACTTACAGAAATCTATGCAAAAAAGGGTGAATTTTACTGTCTGTAATAATACCTTAAAATGGAAATTGAAATGGCAAAAAGAGGTCTTTGGTAAGAGGTTTTATATTCATAAAAATGAATTTTATGTTCACATCTATATCTTTTGACCCTTTGTTTCTCTTCCTCCCTCTTGTTTGCTCAAATTTATGTTCACATTCATATCTAATACCAGCTAATCTATATGTAACACAGATATTTAAGCATTAAAATGTTACTAGTGGTATATTCAGCAATTTTCCTGAATAGAATGTTGTGAAACAACATGAAATACAGTAGAAAAATATCTATTCATGCCAATTTCTTAAGCTATTCATGACCTCATATAAGTTGTCTCTCATATATGAGAAAGGAAAGCTTTATTGAGTTACTAAAACACAATCTTTGAAGTCCTAATGCTTCAATATTGTTATTTTTTATGCTGCTGAACATGTTCTCATGGTCACTTCAGACTTAAATACTTGTGTTTATTATTATTATTATTAATGTTGAGAGAACTTCCATGTCAAAATGAAATGACCCAAGACCTAGACTGCCCTTGGCAAACTTTCTGCTAATAAAAGAAAGTAGGAAAGGTCAGGTTTTCTTTAAAGAGACATTTGAAAAGTGCCTTTGAACTTTGACATTATGAGGTAGTCTTATTCATCATTCTATTTATGGCTTTTAAATTAATGTAGAATGATCATTTATCTCAGAAGACCTTTCCATCATTGTCCAGTAATTTTCCTTTTATAGAAGATGTGGGTTCCTTCAGTCATTTATTGGAAGTTAAAGGAACCAAGACCAGTGACTCCAGAATTTACTTCACCAGTGTCATGGAAAGGACATTGAAATGGGCTATGAGTCTACAAATCACAGCCTGATCTCACAGCCTGATCTTTCCTTTAACCTTTCATCATTTAACATTTTAGTTATAGATGATGTCTATTCTATTAGATACTTCAGTCCTCTGAACATCAGTCAGAGTTATAATAGTGTAGTTTTTAGAAGACAGTTTCTATGGCTCCTTGTAACAATGTTTCAGGGTACTATTTTAATGCTGATGAAATCTGGTTTGAAGCTTGCTGATTTTTATAGATAGTCCTTGAAGCCTTTTTTTAAATAAAAAACAGTTTTTGCTGACTCATCACTTCTGCTTAGTGTCTTTTGCAGCTTTGTCATTGCTAGTCTCCTGGTGGTCTCCATGCAATGAGTACCAACCAGTTCAAGAGCTGGGAATGACTTGATCCATCCCCCTCCATGAGGTGCATCTCTTCTAGGACATCATTGGTAACACCCCTAGTGACAGGATTCTCACTATGTCATGATAGACTTCTTGCATTTATAAGAGGTTCTAGCAGCTAGAAAGGCATTTTATGTTGAATTATATTCCCATAACTTCTATCTGTTTGTTCTAAATTTGTTCCTTGGAGACAGTGATTCCTTCCTTCAACAGTATGACTGTTGAGTACCTACTCTATGCTAGGTGATAGGGCTGACAGTTTTTTTAAATTAGTGGTCTCTGTCCTCAAGGATCTCAAGGCCAATGAACAGTGGTGGGAGTGGGTTAAGAATATAATACAAACATAACCAGATTTCACCAAGCCTCCAGACTATGGCTTTAAATAAAGAGAGTCACATTAATAGTTATAATTTATATATTTGGCTACTTAGGCATTTGTCCTATATAGTATAGCATAAGACCCCTAGTCCCCTGTAAAAGCCATCGTTGAGGTATCACTGGAGTTTCTAAGATTTCCTTTTTAGAGATAGGATCTCACTGTGTTTCCCAGGCAAGAGTGCAGTAGTGCAATCATATTTCACTGCAAACCTTGAACTCATGGACTTAAGTGATCCGCCCATCTCAACCTCCCAATTACCTAGGACTACAAGTACATGCCACCACACCTGGCTAATTTTTTTTTTTTTTTTTTTTTTTGAGACAGAGTTTTGCTCTTGTTGCCCAGGCTGGAGTGCAATGGCGTGATCTTGACTCAAGGCAACCTCCTCCTCACAGGTTGAAGTCGTTCTCCTGCCTCAGCCTCCCGCGTAGCTGGGATTACAGGCATGCACCACCATGCCCAACTAATTTTTGTATTTTTAGTCGAGACGGTGTATCTCCATGTTGGTCACAGTGGTCTCAAACTCTTGACCTCAGGTGATCTACCCACCTCGACCTCCCAAAGTGCTGGGATTACAGGTGTGAGCCACCATGCCCAGATAATATTTAAATTATTTTGTAGAGACAGGGATCTCACTGTGTTGCTGGTCTCAAATTCCTGGGCTTAAAGAATCCTCCTGCTTTGGCCTCCCAAAAGTGCTGACATGAGCCACCATGCCCTGCCTAAGATTTTTTTAACGAATTTATTGCTGACTCGTCATTTCTTCCAAGTTGTCACCCATATATTCTCTCCCTCTTGCCATGACAGAGCAGTGTCCTATGATGTGGGCTTCCTTGCCCACTCTAGAATTCCCATGGGCATACTGCACTCCTCATCAGTGCTGTGCCACAGCTCCCCAGCTGGTGGACCTTCACGAATCTGGGGAAGGCGAGATGATTTGTGCAGAAATGGGAAGAAGGCTCACTTTCTCTTCCAGATGTCATAGTCTGTTGCCTGGCCCCTCAACAGCCCTGAGCGTACCCCATTTTTTTTACATGCCTTTTAATTCCTAAAGCTTTTGTTAGATGTTAACCCACAGAGATCAAGTGCACATAGGGAGAGGAATGCACCAGAGAAAAAATGCGGGACACAGTGCTTGAGTAGCCTGAGTGTTAAACCTTTTATGAGGACACAGTACTTTCTCCAAGTTCCCTGGCAATGAGTATTGATGATTCCTGTCCTTTAGAGAACCAGTACACTCAAGGAATGACGAAATAATCTGGTACATTTTAGAACAATAAGGAGTTTTAACTAAAAGAGATTCTATTTCCAGAGTGAATACCTTTTCACTAACTGGGAATACAGGTATTTGCTTCATGAGCATATGGGAAGAAAAGGAGCCAGCTCTTAAGGTTGGTTCATATCAACAGAAACAACAGGACACTATTTCTGAGTT